GACCTTTTGGGAGGTGCCCAAAAACAAATCCGTGAGGGCTTAGCCCAGAGCGGACAATATCATACTAATATGGGGTTGGGGTGAGGGCACGCGCAATCACAAGATGTGGTATCGGAGCCTAGGTTCTTGCGGGCGGGAGCAGCGGACTGTGCACTGTGGAAAAATCTCGGTGTGACGGTGTAACAATAGGACCAAGACCAAGAAAGAGGATCCGCAGGTAGTGCCTTGTGTCAAAAGTCTTCCCGACAAGAGGAGGTCGGGCGACGTGTCCCGTGAAGTTATAGCCACGGCGCAATCACAACAGAATGTTTATTAAATTTTGATTGGTTAAAATTAATAGAAAAAAGGAAAAAGAAAAACCAGAGGAAAACGCCTTGAGGGCCGTCACCGCGTCAGGGGCAACGCACTGGTCACATATGGCTGTTATGGAAGAGCGGCATGACGTAGGATGGTGAAGTCCTTCCTCATGCCTCATAACACATAGTCTTAAAAATATCCAAAATTTTAAAAAGAAATTAGTAATGCCCCCACAAAAAGTGGCATGCCTCCATAAAAAGAAATTTCAAGTAGAAAATCAAATATCTACAGTTAAAATGAAAAAATTAAAATTTAATCATTTAAAATAACACAAATTTAATTAGGAAATAAAAGTTATTAAGAGAAAGTAAAGCTCTAGAAAGTATTTTTTAGATTTCTCATTAACTATTTGAATGCTACATTGAGTCAAAATAATTTTCTTTTTTACATTACTATTTGGAAAAAAAGTCATAGACGCTGCCCCCAAAAGTCTGTAGACGTATCGCCCCCATTTTTTTGATTCAATACCATCTCATTCATTACTTTCAGATGTTTCGTTTATTGAATCTTTATTTGGATTTAGAAGAAATTAATCTGAATGAAATTTACGTTAAAAAATATATATCGTCCTATGTACACATGCTTTACAAAGCCATGTTGTGTCTTGTACGAAACAAGTGAAGGTTGGGAAGTACTCTTTCTGTCCCAAAAGAAAAATTATTCCTTTTTTTGGGATGTCCCAAAAAAACCCTCTTCTTTCTTATTTTTAGAAAAAATTTTGAGTGCCTTACAATTTTTTCTCTTTATCCGAATCAATTTCAACTACATATTTTTATATTTTTCAAGTCAAACTAAAAGCTTTTTTTTGGGACGGATGATTGAAAGTAAGTATAGGCCAGACCAGACAAGGCTATGATGGGCTGGGCCAGGCCCAACATACTTGGCATATTGCAGCATATTCTTGAGCGGATATATTAGGCGACCCAAACAACAGGAGCGTTCCAAGCAATTTACAGCATTTTCCGGCCCATAGATATTATGCGAGCCGAACAAGGGCCCAAATAATTCAAATGAAAAAAGCGGGAACACGTTGCCCCAAATTCAAAAGTTGCGTCCACCTGTCACGTGTACGTTGAGATGTAGGGCCCACGCAGTCCCCGCTGTCTCCATCATCGTCTTCTTCCGTTTTAAATCCCCCTTTTGCTCGCTCGCCTCTTTCCATTTCCAATCGGAGCTGAATCTTCTGCTAATTAATTCCACTCTCCCTTTCTCAGTATCTAAGGTATCTATGTTCTTACACTTGTGCGATTCGATCCATTGATTTCCTGGTTATCATGAATCTCTGCTTGTTTTTGCTTAATTTAGGGTTAACTAAGGCGATTTGATTTGCTCTTATTTACCTTTTTTTCTGGCGTTCATGGCTAGTTTCAGATTTTCTGTGCATTTTACATCGATTTGTGGATTTGCTTTTCCAACATTGTTTGGAGTTCTGAACTCTAACTCGTCCTGGTTTCATAGCCATTGTTTTCAATTGCCGTATATGAGAAATTTCGTATGGAAAAGGGAGTGTGGTGTTTGTATTAGTAGATTTCTGCAAGTGAAAGAAGGGTTCTTTTTCTCTGGCATAATTGATTTGAGTGGAGTGCAAAAAAGCATGTTTGATCTTATTTCTGATCTATTGTTTCTTCCTAAATAAGATCTTATACTCCCAAAGATAATCTCTCTGACCTCTAAATCATTCATTTTTGTGCTGTTGCTAAATCTTCTAACTTTCTGATCTGTGAAACAGTGAAAACTTGTGGTTTGATGTCTGAAACATTCTACATTCATTAGGTTCTGGCCAACTTGTTCATTTCCCTTTTAAATTTTGAGTTCTTGGGCTTGCTGTTTCCAGAAAAACACACGCAGAGGATGGCACTATATTCGTCTATTATATGTTATTGTGATATGTTGTGTTCAATTCTTCTGCCAAACTCTTTACGGTTCTTTTAAAACAAAACCACGACCTCACCGCTAGTGGTCTGATTTTATTTATCTTCAAGAACAAAATCATCTTCATCTGCCTGCTTCCACGCTTCGAGTCTCCTTTACGGTTCTTCGTCACCAACCTCTGCCTCTTTGAGTCTCCGTCATCTTCTTCATCTGCGCCTTGAATAACTTGGTATTCATTCTCATAGCCCGCACCTGCAACGCCAACGAGAAGTAGTTTATTGGGTGATTTCCGTCATTAGAGATAGTTTCAAGTAATTGGCACAAGTCATGACACCAGGCAGGTCGTCATCTGCAGATTCAGAGGCCCCGTTACCACCAAGTGTCGCCTTTCCAGATGACAAATGCTGTTTAACAGAAATAACAAGTCAATAATACTGAGCAAATTGAAAAGAAGAAAATGTGTATATAGGAGGAAACAATATGCATTTTCCCTATCTAGTAGTCCTACCCGGTCAAGTTTTTGAATTGTAAAAAGTGAACTTTAGCCCTTGGCATGTAAATTGAACGCAGTTTGAAGGCAAAAAAAAAAAAACTTCTGCTACACTTTTATTTTTATCACTCATTCTGATGGGTCATAATGTGTTCTCTAATTCCCCCAAAAAAGGAGTACCATTTGGTGACTTGGTCACAAAAAAGAAATTCCTATTTGAACTAAAAAACAACCTTTATACATCTAACGCTTTTTAAATTCTACGGAGTGATAAGTATCCAAACAAGTTTTGGGATGAAATCTCACAATTCTATGCTATGGGATGGAGCAGCTAGTTAAATTTAATTCATATTGTATCAACCAATTGGAATGAATGACACCACTATCATAAACACAAAGATCACATGGTCGTTGGATGAGGTACGGGAAATGTTACAATTGTATGTTTATTTGCATTCTCTGTTTTTTTACAGTAATATAGGAAGATGCCAATGCCTGATCTGGAAATGGAGAAAGAAAATGTAGCTGTTCTGGCTCCACATGGATTGAACTATGATGGAAAGAATTGTGCATTAGAAAAGGAGCTGGAAATGACCAGAGCTAAACTAATGGCTTCCGAGCAAGAGGTCACAAAGTTAAAGGCTAACCTCTCTGGAGTGATGACTGAAAATGCTCATCAATTGAGGCAATTAGAAATCCAAGCTTATGAGCATCAAGTTGAGGTATCACATTTATTTTCCAAAATCAGTTTTTTGGAGAACCAGCTAGAAGGCACTGCAGAAAAAATTCAGAGATCAGAAGAAGAGAATTCCGAGTTAAAGCGCGAATTGCAAGCCTTTAGAGCCAAACTTGATTCTACTGAAAGCCATGCTTTGGAATTGGAGGAAAAGTACAATTCCAATTTAAAGAAAGCCAATTCAGAGAAAGAAAAGCTCCAATCTGCCATGTCTGAAGTTTCCGAACAGCTAGCTTTACTACAGGTGAAAATGGAGGAAATGGAATTGAAAAACAAGGAGTTAGAAGACGAGCTCATTATATCCAAAGTAGAAGAGATTTGCTTGCAAGCAGACCGTGAACGTTTGAAAAAAGACCTCGATGCCCTCAAGCTGAATTACGACACTCTAATGATTGAGAAAGATGAGACCAACACAACACTCTCCTCCAAAAACAGTCAAATTCAGCAACTGCATTCCAAGTGTTTGTTTCTAAATGAAGAATTCGAGAAAGTGGGGAAACTGGTTGATGAGCTGCGATCCAGAGTGAAGGACTTGGAGGAAGAAATTGAAAGGCAGAATGGTGTGATCTCAGATAGGGAAGATGAGAAGAGGGAGGCAATAAGGCAACTTTGCTTCTCACTGGAGCATTACCGAAATGTATACCTGATGATGCGCGAGGTAAGCCTTGTTAAGAAAGAAGGGACCAATGATCATTGTTCCTTGATGTGTTTTCCTTGATTGTGTCTGCGTGCCCAACATAAGATTATATGTGTGCCATTTGTTGTCTTTCTTGTTTTTCTCAACTGAGATTAACAACCATTATTGTGTAAGGATTTGTGGTCTTGTACCCTCAAGGTTAAATTTGTTATTTGTTCTTTACTTTTCAATTAAATTGCCCATGTCATCCAGCTTTTGCACATTTAAACGGTAGTAATCATATTTATATGATGGTATTTTTTATGTGAAATTTAGTCATATCCCCTAACCCCTCGAACCTCCACCATGACCTCGTCACTACCCCCTCCACACACCCCGACACCCTAAACATCTCATCGTACCTGACCACCTTTTTGCACCTCCATCCCATTTGTTGGTCCCGGATCCAATGGACATTGTACCACATTCAAAACACTAAGTGATTCACAATATTTTTCTGAATTTCTCTTCTCTCAATATATCTCAACTACACATATTTTAAAAATAAATTTACTAAAAAATACGTAGTAAATTGTAATTTGGTTTTGATTCGAATAAAGTATTGATGATCCTATATATATATATATATATATATATATATATATATATATATATATATATATATATATATATATATGTAAAAGAGGGTTTAATGCTTGTAGTGTTGACACGTGTCATACGTGACATGACATTAAACGCCATGTGTACAGACTTCAAACATTAAACGCCAACATGTACAGACACCGAGCATTGATGTTCGTCCTTCGCAATCCTCGCTTCAATGGTAACCGGTACAGACGTCCAGCCCTCATCTTACCCCAACAAACATCAAAATGCCAAAACGAACATGAACCGGTACAACGCCAAAACAAACATCTAAAATCATTACAAAAAAATGAATCTCTTCAACCACCAACATCAAATTAAAAAACCCCAAAACACAATAATATCACTCTTCACATTTCACAAAACAAAAGGATACAATGTAGTATTTCAAAATCCTACAAAACCAAAACATACATAATCCTTTAACACATGCCCAAGCATAGCACGAAAGAAAATCAAATCATAAACCAACCCCTCCATTTCCAATCATCGCCTCAATAACATTATGACAACGAGCCCTAATAACAAGCCCGTGCGTAGCACGGGGGTAGAAAACTAGTTACGGAGTATTTTTGTAAACATAGGCCCCTCAAAATTTTGAAACCATGTGCCATTGCACGGGTCCCACATGTCCAAGGCTGTCACTTTTCTGTAATACAAACAATACTTATTTGCGTGCAACATAGATTAAATTTTATTTACAGTATAAATATAAAAATGAAGTGATGTAAACTTATTGGACATCAAAGGATGAATTTAGAGACAATTTGTGTGTGAAAATTTGATAGCCAAATCTTGTGTGGAGTATATAAATTACGTATTTGATGTACACAACGTTTAATTTTATGCTATACTAAGCGTTTGGGCTTTAGCAAAAATAATTAACGTGAAGAGTAAGTGATACATTATGCATTCTTCATACCCGAGTATACTTCTTTGTCCAAAAAAAAGTTCATATCTTAACTTTACAAACTTATAAAAAAAATGAAAAATGATAGGGGTACACCAAAGGTATACCTCATTTGTCCCCCACTCCCTCCTCAACCACATAAATAGGCAAAAGCTTCAAAAACAATTAGATAAATAAAAATTAAATAAGAATGGGTGGTGGAGAAGGGGGTGTGGGACAAATGAAATACACCTTTGGTGTACCCCTAGCATTGCTCAAAAAAATATATTAAAAAGTGGAGAAAGAAATATGGTTGTGAGCCCATACACACTTTGAAGTCAATGTATACCTATGTGAGCCAGACTTGGACTTCATATATGAGAAATGCTAAAGTCACAAAAACTTCAGTCACAAAATACACAAATTTTTCATTTGTGCACCTCACTAAGTGAATAAAATAAGGATAAATACTTAAAAAGTAGACATTTGAATACATAAATACTATGTAGTAAATTTGTGTATTTTGTGACCAAAATGTTTGACTCTAGCACTTCTCTAATGCTTGATTTCAAGGAGGAAAAATGAAAAGGAGTAAATGGTTGAGGAACACAAAATTATCCAATGTTTTTAACCTCGTGTTTTAAACAGATATGCATAAACAATAATTGTTTATTGCACAGATAATTATTGTCTGTGTTGCACGGATAGTGTATGTGGACTTGTTCTTATTATATACTGACATGATCTGATTGATTCTGAACTTATTAGATTAATTTCTGATCTGATCTTATCTAAATGTAATCATAGTTAAAACTATTTCTATTCTAATTCTGATAACTAATCCATAATAAACAATACATATAAGTTAATAGAGTAAGTATATTGTGAGGTTACCCAAACACAACCCATGTCCAATGACCTAAGTCATGTTCTCCCCAACTTGTTTTTTACTCCGTACTTATTATTTATTCTTATTGAAATCAGATCAGATCACAAATAACTTTAAATATAACTATATTCAGTTCAGATTAGATGAGATCAGATCAGATCAGCTGAATAGAACATGCCCTTAGGTTGCGTTCCGTTCGCCTGATTTGATATGATCTTTTGAAGATTTGATCTGATTGAAATTGTAATTTAATTTATTTCTGATTTCATCTGGTTTGATCTAATCTAATCTAATCTGATCAGAATAAATAATACGGAGTACTACCTCCGTCCCAGAGTATTTGTCCACTTTTATTTTTACACATGACTATATTTAGGCTTACAGATTGAAAGAATTTGATGAGTCAAAGTGATTAGATGAACAATTTCAAAAGTCAAAAGTAGACAAATACTCTGGGAGTAAGTCGAAAAAATAAATTGAATTCCAAAAAAATTACTCGGTACTAAGTACGTACTGCTTTTTTTTCTATAGGTGTTTTCGGGCGACGAAGAAGTGCAATCTTTTACCTTCATCGCCAGAAGAGAACAAGTTGGTTTGTCCTGTCCCGATTCGGCGCGTAATTTCTCTCTTCATTCTTTTATTGGGGAAACCGGTGAGTTAACGAGCTCAGCTTTTACAGTATTTGCACTAAGCCCTTCAAATTTTCTCGATTTTCCACAAATTCACTTCAATACCATGTTCCTGCTGCGTGTTTATCGTATTTCACCTACGGACCAGTAAGAATTTGGTTCTCTGTGAAGCCATGGGCCGAAATAAGCAAACTCGGCCGCGTCGTTCTGTTGGAATTCGTGGGAAGACAACTCCTAGGTCGGAATCACATGATAATGACAATATTAATGTTGAAAGAGCTGAAAAAGACAATCTTGGTGATGTTGATGATGAGGAACCATTTTTCGTTGAAGTTGATCAGTCCAATTGGTCGTCCGAGGAACATTTGGATATATCAGAGATTGTGTTGTCGGGTTTGAGCATAAAGGAAGATTTTTATGGTTATAGATTAAGTAATCCTGTTTTTGAGGGCTCGGGGTATGTATTGAGGTTGAGATTGAGTGGAGTGAACCAGCATCTCAGTAGGATGAAATTAGGGCATTGGCCTGTTTTGCCTGCCGCGAGCATTGTCGTGGAGCTTGTGGCAAAGCATGTGAGTGATGAGGGCAGGGAAGAATGCCTTGTCATGGTTTCGGGAAATCTTGATGGACCGGATGAAGGTGTTTCTGGGCTTGCCCACTTAGCTAGTTTGAAGTTCTTGACATTGAGGCCAGCAATGGAAACAACTGTTTCAGAAGGGTTATCGTCTGTTAGGATTAGGGTGGAGATTTTGAGGAATGCATTTGGTGCGTGTGAGTCTCTTCTTGATAATTCGAGACAAGTTTGGAAGAAGAGTATGAAAAGCATCATGGCTTGGCTACGTCCGGAAGTTACAACTTCAGAGGCTAGATATGGGTATAGCATCAGAAGGGACATAGATGGGAGCTCATCCTCTTCAAGGGAACACGCCAAACTTGATGTTGCTAGTTTCTATGAAGCCATTAAGCCATCAAAGTTAGTGTTTTTACAATTGTGATATATTTCTTCCTTTTCGTATTTTTTAATAGAAGGAGCTATAGCGTTCCTTTTCCGGATTGGTTTATTTCAAATGTGTGGTTGTGGTTGATTTAGAAGTGAAAGAATTAATTTGGGACCACACAGTTTTCCATGAAAGGTAATGGGAAGAAAGTTTTAGGATAACCAGAAAAAAGAAAAACGGAGAAGAAAATTTTGAGATAGAGGGATTGATATTTTGTTCTAAATCGTGCAGGGATGAACCTATGTTGGATGACTATCTTCCTAATTTGGTTCCTGAGCTTAGACCATATCAACGACGTGCAGTTTATTGGATGTTACAGCGGGAGAAAGGCACTTGTGAACCTAGAAAAAGAAATCCGTCTGTTTCTCCTCTATGCATGCCATTGACTTTAATAGAAAATTCTGCTGCTTTATACTACAATCCATTTAGGTATGGTATATTGTCCTTGCATTGCAAATTCACATGTGTATGCACTTGGCTTAGCATGAAAGCCAAACATTCTCAAATCTCAATGCATTTGATACAGCTAACTGGCTACGTACTTTATTTAAATACGGAATATCAAATACTTGTACCTTATTTTGGACTTATCCGTCCATTTATTTTTGTGTGTTTCATGGAAAAAGTAGCAAGCATGTGGATTTAATGTTTCTAAAGTTTTTTCATTATCTCTGTATGCAACATATCACGTCTGATTAGTTCTATCACAAAAAAAAAGAGAATCTATTCCATCACCATCATCATTATTAGCACCTCGATCCCAACTAGTTGGATAAATTAATTAGCACTCCTAGTTCATGAAAAAACACAGTGACATTGGTTTACATTAGAATGTTTCCTGTGTGAGTCTTCATAAGAAGGAATAATGTGATGAATATTCCAATACTGCCATCATCAACTCATCAAGGTATTTTTGATATTGATTTTCAGTGGAAATGTATCCCTTCATCCAGACACTTCCTTCAGTTACATTTCTGGTGGAATTCTAGCTGGTACGTCAAATCATTGTATGTTCTCTACTTCAAACCAATTTTTGATATGTGTAACAACCAAAAGTCATTTATTATCATGGTGTTTTCTTGTAGATGAAAACATATAAATATAAGTGTTGCTAAAGGTCTGCATTAACCCCATAGTTTGTAAGGCACCAAGGTACCTTCATATCGCCTAGGTGTCGTATCGCCTAGGCCAGCGCCCCTTCATATCGCCTAGGCCAGCGCCTGAATGCCTTAATGTTTCTGGGCAAGCCGAACAGACTAGGTGTCCAAAGGACAACGCCTTACAAACTATGATTAACTCTTTAAATTCTGACCAATGTGCAATCATGTTTTTTTGCTTAAATCTTTACTTTTCATAATGAGTTGCAGAGGAGATGGGCTTGGGGAAAACAGTTGAGCTGCTTGCATGTGTCTTTGCTCATCAGGTGACATCAACAGCAATTGGAAGCTTGTCTAATTCAGCGGAAGTTCAGGGGGACATGAGAAAAGACCTTAAAAGATTGAAGCGGGAGAGGGTTGAGTGTGTATGTGGTTCTGTCAGTGAAAGCATTAGATATGAGGGATTGTGGGTACAGTGTGATGTTTGTGATGCTTGGCAGCATGCAGATTGTGTTGGATATTCACCACAAAAACGCAAGAAACGGATGGAGGATTTTGAGCAAGACGGTGGGGATTCATCAGGAAAATCCCAGAACCGTGCAAAAAGGAAAACCAACGAAGAAATAGTTGAGATGGATGGGGTTTATATTTGCAGGGCGTGCACAGAACTAATCCAAGCCAGTGAAGCACCTGTTTCATCAGGGGCAACTCTTATAGTATGCCCTACCCCTATATTGCACCAATGGCATGCTGAAATTATACGGTATTCTTTTTCTTCCTCTTTTTTTGTATACGATCATATCGTGGAAGCGTATTATTGACTACTTCCACTAGGGTATTATTATGTAAACATAAATAATTTTCTTTAACATTTCATTCAGTCTGAGAAAAGGATAATCTATTGAAGGACCCCAGTTTTTCTATGATGTTTCATACGGATGTGTGCCTTTTTTCTTGTTATAGTTTTGTGACTTAGTTCTGCTATGGTACACGTATCTGATTTTATTTGAAATCATGACTTATGTTTGAACTCTCAAGTGCTTTTATTATACTTGTATATATGTGTATATATATGTGTTGTTTCTATATGCAGACACACAAAACCTGGTTCATTGAAAACATGCACATACGAAGGCGCTAGATCAAGTACTTTCTCGGAGATACCTTCCATGGATATAAATGAGCTTCTCAGTTCTGACATTGTCTTGACAACCTATGATGTGCTCAAAGAGGACTTGTCACATGATTCTGATAGACATGATGGTGATCGCCGCTTTTTGAGATTTGAGAAAAGGTATCTTTTTGACTCTAGTTTCTAGTAATTATCTTTGTTTCCTTGGCTTGTCTCTTGCATCATGACTCATGAAGAGGAAGTATTTATGAATGGAATCCTTATCATTTTTCATATATTTTGATTTATAGTCATTTTGTAATAGAAATATATAAGTAAAATGAGTTTGAACAAATATCTAAAATTCATTTACCAACTTTTAGTCCATTTTATTTTACTTGTTTCCCTTAACATTTTCTGGTTTCCAAAGCATACCCCTAGTTCCCAGCTACATACTATTAGTAAACTTCTTTAAGAAACAAGCTATGTGTATTGTGCAGATTTCGGGTTATTCCCACTCCTCTCACTAGGATATTATGGTGGAGGATATGTTTGGATGAAGCTCAAATGGTGGAGAGTAATGCTGCTGCAGCAACTGAAATGGCATTAAGGCTACATACAGTTCATCGATGGTGTATAACTGGGACCCCCATACAAAGGAGACTTGATGATTTGTATGGGCTCTTGAGATTCCTGAAAGCAAGCCCATTCAATGTTTTTAGGTGGTGGACTGATGTAATTTGCGATCCATACGAGGTTTGTTATAACTAGTGAATCATTATTGCTAGTAGCATGCTATATTGTCTATCAATTTCTTGCCTATATAGGGGCAGTTATGATAGGGAAGCTTCAAAATTTAAGGCTATGTTTGGAACAGAAATGGTAGCTGAAGGAAAAAAGCTTTAGAAATTTTTGGTTTTAACTTGGAAAATAATAGTTGAAATACTAAGGAAACTCAATTTGGTTTAAAAACATAAAATTTTAATCATATTTATATTTCTTCGTTTGTATATATGGAGTATGAAAAGTTTTATTCCCCAAGTCGTGTTTCCTTCCAAATTTGTCTTCTAATTTCTTCCATATTTGCTTTCCCTAGCATTTTCAGAGTTCTAAACGGACTCTTAAAGGTTTCATAGTTTAATCACACTTTTTCTTGTCCATATTTTCATTATAACATGTATCTTACACAGTGTTTTCATCAATATTTCATGTAATATAGAGGGGAGATGAAGGAGCCATGGCATTCACACACAGCTTTTTTAAACCACTAATGTGGCGGTCATCAAAAGAGCATGTTGCTGAAGAATTGCAACTTCCTCTTCAAGAAGAATGCATCTCTTGGCTTTCTCTTTCACCAATTGAGAAGCACTTCTACCAGAGGCAACATGAAACTTGTGTGAATGATGCCCATGCATTCATTCAAGATCTGAAAGATAATATCCAGAAGAAGAAACCACAAGGTTTGTTGATAATTTATATATCATCATCTTTTTTCAGCTTCTGTTATGATTGTTCAAATTTGTCCTCAGGTACGGAAGTGTCTGACTCTTTATCTGGTGTTATCATCACCAATATGGACGCTGCAAAGCTATTTAACTCACTTTTAAAGCTTCGACAAGCATGTTGTCATCCACAAGTGGGAAGTTCTGGCCTGCGTTCTTTACAACAGTCTCCCATGACCATGGAAGAGATTCTGTTGGTATGTCACTTGGCCACTTGGGTTATGTTTTGAACACGGAAAATTGTAGGGAAAGGTAAAAACCAAGTAAATTAGGTTTTTAAACTCTTTGGTTTTACCTTGGAAAAACGTAGGGAAAATGAATTTTGATCAAATTATTTTAAAATGTTGCATATATTTTGAATATATAATACTCCGTATTAGTTTGAATAAATATCTAAAAATGATTATTGGTCTCTTATTTTTTCCCCTAAATTTTCTTTTCTTCCCATTTTCTCATTTGTTTTCCTTGTGATTTTCTTTCTCTAGCATATTCTGGATTCTGAGCTAAGATTCCCTACAAAAGATGCAGCCAGAGCTATCAGCTATATGTGGGTTTATTGTTTAAAGATGTTTGGTGTGTGTGTGTAGGTTCTTGTAGGTAAGACCAAGGTAGAAGGAGAAGAAGAACTCCGGAAAGTAGTCGTTGCCCTCAATGCCCTTGCTGGCATATCTATTATTGAGAAAGATATTCCTCAAGCTATATCATTGTACAAAGAAGCACTTGCTTTAGCTGAAGAGCATTCTGAAGACTTTCGTTTGGACCCTTTGTTAAATATTCACATACACCATAATCTTGCCGAGATACTACCAAAAGATTCTGATGGCTTGGAGAACGTTCAATCTGATTCCCTTATGGTGGAAGGGGTTAAAGACGACATCCAGAACTCTTCTAGGAGTGAGAGTGAATTGATGGTAGTGCCAAATTTGACCATTAAGAATCTATCCAATTCATATGTAGAGCCTGAGAGGCTACGTTTAAAAACATCTTGTGAGAATCTAAAGCAAAGGTACTTGTCTGCATTTAATTCGAAGTTGTACGTGGCTCAACAAGAATTTAGGAAGTCACATGAGCAGGTATTTTGATACCAATATTTGGATATCTTCTTTATAATTCCCCTCATGCCTTAAGAAACTGTGTTTGATTGTTCATTTTGAAGGTTTGCAATGCGTTTACTGATAGAAAAGATCAGCATACAACATGGTGGTTAGAAGCCCTACACCATATTGAGCAAAACAAGGATTTGTCAACCGAGTTCATCCGGAAAACAGGAGAAGCTGTTGCTGGGACACTGAACACTAGTGCATCAAGGGTTGCCTCCTGGTTAGTGATGGGCCTTTTAATTGTATATTGGTTTAAAGCTTTTCAAACAAATTTTACTTAATGCCTTGATTAGCAGACATCATAAAGGCATGTAGTTATGTCATTATCATTGGTTGAGATGGAGAGCTAAGAGCTGTTTCGTTAATATGACTGAATGGGCTGAATTTTTTTAATATTGTGCTTGAAATGACTAATTAGCTGTGTGATGAATTATCCAAAACTGTACTTGTTTCTTTAAGAAATTAATGGATATATCTAAAAGCTAGGAGTAGACATCTCATTTATCTTTTCAGCCAAAACATAACTTTGACATTGCTTTATTAGTTATTACTATCATCATCATCTTGGAAACAGCCTCCCTGCTTCCAAGTAGGGGAAAGGTCTGCGTACACACACCCTCTCCAGACCCTACTGTAGTGGGATCCAACTGGGTTGTTGTTGTTGTTGTTGTGCTATCATCATCATCCAAAAAGTAACATCTTGTATTGTTTTGTGCACAGCTTCCACAGCATATCTTCTATGAAGTATTTCATTCAAACGGGTTTAGACTCATTGGAAGATTCTAGGAGAATTTTACTTGATAGACTCTTGGATATTGATCAAACAATGGGCAATCCCAGGAAGGAGGACATAGAGCGTGTGAGATACTGTCCAAAATGTTATGCTAATTGTGAAGGTCCCATGTGCGTTCACTGTGAGCTTGATGACTTATTTCAGGTATTATTTTCAAACTAGTGTTCCTATAATCTTCTTCCCCCTCTGGTAAATATTAACTGAGGCTATGTTTGGATCCTGGAAAATATAGTAGATAAAGGAAATTTGACGGTAAGGCTTAAAATCTTCCATAGACCATAGCATATCTGCTTTAAAGTTTTTCCCTTTTTCTAATGTTAAAAGATTTTTCATATATTTGAATTTTTTAATCTTTATGTCATTGGAATTTATAAATAAAATGAGTTCAAACAAATATGACAGAACAGATTTATTGAGCTTGAACGGGTTTTTTTATCCCCTCCCCCCTCCCCCCCCAAAAAAAAATTGTTACCCCATATTACCAAATTTCTATCTTTTTTCCCCAATATTTTCCAGGCTTCAACTGGACACTAATGGCTCAATTGTTATTCTGTTTGTATGTAAAACCATCATTTCTAGAGGTACGAGGCCAGACTTTTTCGACTTCATAAAGGAAAACATGGGGAGGCAATTACATCTGCCGAGGAGGCTGTTAACCTGCAGAAGAAGATGTCTGCTCTAAACCGGTTTTATTCGACTTTGTCAAAATCTAACAAGAAATCGACTTCGTTGACTCATGAATCAGAAGACAATGGAAATAAGAGAGATACACGAGAAAGAGTGCTAGTGAGTAGCTATCACCTATCATCTTTGTTTAAATTGCAGTACTCTATCCGTTCTTCAATTAGTGCCATTTGTAGCAAATAAATTGTTATTAAAATGTGCCGCTTTCAAATATCAAAGGAACATCACTTGCTCATTTCCCATATTTAAATGGCCATAATACTTAGAGTATGTCTTTAATGCATTAATGCATCACAACCTAGTCATAATGCAATACATGTATCATGGATATGGAAAGCTTCTTTGTTTTTCTTAATGTGTATAAAGGTGTAAAGTGGCACTTATTTGGCGATGGAGGATGTAACATCTGTGTTCTTGCTTATATTTTATGTGGTTAAGAGTCTCATCTTGCTGTGGTACCCAAGGTAGTTTTCTAAATTGCGCATGGCAAAACCACAATATGAGCTCGAAAATTGTCTTAGCATTCAAAATGCCACCTAGTCATCCGAGTTACCACCTGCGCACTTACAGCGGCGCCTAATTGCCTATCCTTGCAGTATTTTCACTTTTAGAGGGGGCAATTTGTGTATATTTGAAATTGGGAACTTTGGGCTTTGAAGTTTGAATTTTCTAGCAGGTTTGGAATGAGGAATTCAGTATTAGTGCTTTAAAAATTTGAAATATTTGCACTAAATAACACTAAAACATAAGTCATTTTGCAATGTAGGACTTGAACTTTTTTGTTCTCGAAATAGCACTTAATAATGTCTAGAAGGAGGAATAATGTCCAATGATGGTGAACATTTACTTGAATAATGACTAATAAATAATGACTAAAAGTGCTACATTGGGAAATAAAAACATATGATGCTATTTAGGGAAAGTCATTATGTTTTAGTGCTATTTAGGTAAGTTCCTCTAAAAACTTATCTATGAATTGTTGTATATAATATGTTAAAAGCTTTGTTTTAAATAGTTTTTTCTGCCCAGTACCTGGCTACCTGCATTGTCGTTTGCCTAGGCCCTACCTAAGCGCCGCAGCCTGACTAATCAAATGTGATTGACACAAATTCATTCTAGAAAGATAGGTGAGTGATAATCTTGAATAATACATTCACTAAGGGCCCATTTGGTAAGTGTTGGCTGAAGTGGCTACTGAATTTTTTGAAGGGAAAGATTTGGTAACCACTAACCACCATTTTAGCCAAAATTCCAAATGAGTCAAAAGCTACTTATTGTGGCCTTATAAGCAGAATAAGACATATTGCTACCAAATGAAGCCTAGATACCATCACCTTTTCTCTTTCCCTGGGCTTTATGCATTTTGTCAGCATAGTCTCTAGTAAAAGCATTCGTGTATGAGAAATTGAGCTGTTTTGAACTAAATAGAATTTGAAATGAGAAAATGTTAAATACTCCCAGTTCATTTATTGGATTGTTTTATTTTACTTAAAGAGGCATTTATATTTCTTATTTTATTAGACCGGTTGTATTTTTATAACTTATTACATTGCTCCAATTTCCATGAATAGGTTTCAAAATCTCCATCTGACCTGGAGGTGGTGCTGGGCATTATAAAGAGCAACTCAAGAGGACTATTAGATAGAGAGGGCATGTCAGCAACAACAAAGCAACTTCTTCTTTTAGAGGTGCTTTCGGATTTTCTTATATATCAAAATCCACATATACTCGTAATTTCAGTCTTGTGTGCTTTCTGGCTTAGTAAGAGAAATCAATTTTGTATTTACTTTGAAATTGTGTGAAGGGGATGCGAAAGGAGTATCCACAAGCAAGGTCTCTCGCAGTTGCTCAAGCTCAAGTTCTTCGTGCCTATGATGAACTTAACATGGCAACCTCTCGACTGCGCTTACGAGAAGATGATAATGATAAGTCTATTGATGCACTTGATATAGGGGAATTGGTTGCAGCAAATGCTGAATTTTCAAGTGAAAAGTTTGTGGCTTTGTCTTCTCTATCCAGAGTAAAAGGGCAACTCCGCTATTTGAAGGCAAGATACCAATACTTAGTAATTTAATATCATTTGTCTTTTAACTAAAGAATCCCTTCATCCCATATTGACCAAAGGGCTCTTTATAGGGTCTGGTGCAATCTAAACAAAAAGGAGAAAGTACGAACGACAACAGTTCAACCCAAGCAGCAGTGGCAACTGTGGGATCCAGAAGTTCTGAAGAAGAACAGGATGAGAATTCTATGAGAATTGAGGATTCATGTCCAGTTTGTCATGAGAAACTCAATAGCCAAAAGATGGTTTTCCAATGTGGCCATCTCATTTGCTGTAGATGTAAGTTACTTATTACATTGCATACACATTCACATTTGCATTCTAATTCATGGGTAAGAGGTGCCTTTTGGGGGAGATTGCACAGAAAAAAATTGAACTCTTTGATTTATCATACTCTCTCCGTCCCATTAAAGTTTTCCAAATTTCATTATTTTGATGTCACCTAATATGTTTCCACTATCCACTTAAGAAATATGTGGTCCATTCTATTCATTGCTCCTCTCAATTAATCTCAACCACCCACTCCTCTAGTCCTCTAATTACATAATCTCCATGCCCTTTGAAAATTCTAATGGGACGGAGGGAGTATTTAAGTTCAATTTCTTACCATGCACTCCTGTAGAACCTTCCGGACTATTTCCAACCTAGACATTTGAAAATCTTCCAGAATGATTCTAAAGTCTAAACCAAACTCAGAAGACCTGCAACCACATGTAATCTCTTTACATTCACATATATTATAATCATCAAATCGAAGATTTCAGGAAAGTAAATATGATTACTCCTGACTTGTGTATCGCTGTATTTTGCAATCAGTTTATCTAATGAACGGAATTAATTAATACTTAGTGAGTCTTTTTTAAAATTACACATTCAAAAAGTTGGCTTTTATTTTTTAAATAAGAAGTCCAAGTGTGGTGTGCCTTCAATATTTGCAGGTTTGTTTGCCTTGACTGAGAAGAGATCTGGTCGCCTCGGAAAACCTGTTACTAGCTGGATAATGTGTCCAACATGTAGACAGCAGTCTGATTGTAGAAATATTGCATATGCCGTTGATGCCAAACCAGACAAGACTCCCTTTGCTATCTCTGAGAATTGTGAAGCTTCTATTACCGTACATGGTTCATATAGTACAAAGGTATTTTTCACAAATTTGTACTTTTATCTCTTGCATTTCCAAAAAAGTCTCCCTACTCTTTGAAACAGAGGTAAGGTTTGCCACATCTTACCTACCGGGACCATACTATTGAATGAGGTCAATGAGCTATACTAGGTGTGTTTGTATCTTTTTTGTTTTTGCTCTTCAAATGTGAACATTTTTACTGCCGATTCTGAGAGACGTGGTTGCAATAAGAAATTAATAAGCTAATCACCTTGCTTGTATATGCGCTGAGCTAAAGTTCTAAATCTTTTAGCCTCTAAATACTCCCTGTCCCATAAAAAAGTTCCACATTTCATTTTTTTTATTGTTCCAAAAAAAGAATCCTCTTTCCTTTTGAGGAAGGTATTTTGTGGTTCACACAATTTCTCTTTCATCTGCACAAAACTCAACCACACATTCCCATCCTTATTTTGCGATGGAGGGAGTTTTTTTCTTTGTATTAAAAGCCGCTACCATTGTGATGGGTGGTTTTGTAGGTTGAAGCTGTGGCAAGAAGAATTTTATGGATCAACTCAAAAAATCCTGCTGCAAAGGTCCTTGTTTTTAGCAGTTGGAATGATGTCCTTGATGTCTTGGAACATGCATTTTCCGCAAATGGTATTAGCCACATACGAATGAAAGGGGGAAGGTAAAATAACCCAGTGTCATGCTCCGTACCTGTGAGAGAGTACCTTAGTGCAAAAGCAAGGGTAAAGTGGTCTTTAAGTTGTAAAAAATGGGCAAGTAGTCTTTCCATTTAAGGAAGGGGAAAGAAAGACACAAAACAATCTAAAAAGAAAAAATAAGAAAGAAAGTTATAGGAGGGAGGGAGTAACATAATACCTTCACAGAAATCCAAATACAATGGCAATGAGCCAACAATACATTACCTAATGTTCCTATTTTTATTAATGCAGGGGAGCACATGCAGCCATAAACTATTTCAGAGGGCACAACAGCAGTGCCATAGGCATGCAACCAGAAACCAAAACGGTTCAGGTTTTATTGCTCTTGATTCAACACGGAGCCAATGGCCTCAACCTTCTAGAAGCAGAGCACGTGATTCTCGTCGAGCCATTACTGAATCCAGCTGCAGAAGCACAAGCCATCAGCAGGGTGCATCGCATCGGGCAGACCAAAAAGACCCTCGTCCATCGTTTTATAGTACGTATCATCCCCCTCAATATGTGTGTTGTTAAGTGGTATTGCTGTCTTTTACTATCTGCGGAGTGTAACACTCTCCTTCCGCCTCAAAAAGAATTTTTTGGGTCAAATGTTGACTATTTTGTTTGTTTATTTTCATATTACTCAGTTGATAAACCAATACTCCTTCAGTCTCACTATTTTGTCCTTTTTTTCTTTTTGTGTGTCCTACTATCTTTTTCACATACTCCGTACTATATTTGGTCATTTTTGTGTGTATTACGGAGTACTATATATTAATTTTTTTGATTTGACATCAATTTTGATTTAAATTTTGAGAGTTATTCCAATCAAGCAACCTGTAACAGAAGTTTTTTTGGGACGGATGGAGTATTTTCTAATAAAAAAACATTTCTGGAACGGATAGAGTATTATCTAAGACGCCCCCTCGTCTCACAATGAATTTACGAAGTCTTTTCTAAGACAGGAAAATGTGGCTCTTGACATATTTTTCTTCTTTCTAAATAAATTTTTACCATATATTTTTCACTTTTCAACACTTTAATTCTGTCCAAGTCAAAATGTGGACTTCATTTCATAGCAGGGAGTATATAAGTGAGATGAACTTAGCTTAGAGACACATTGTAAAGTTAAAGGGTATTATGCATCATGAATTACAGGTGAAGGACACTGTTGAAGAAAGCATACACAGAGTGAACAAGGGCAGAATGGGAAATTCGCTCGTGAGCGGAAACAGAAAGAATAAAGATCACTCTGCTCTCACACTCAAAGACATTGAGTCTTTGTTGTTCAGAGCTGCCCCGCCATTTGCGGATCCAGACCCGTCTGCTGGGAGTTTGACGCATTTGCCCCCGTCGGTAGCTGCTGCTCTAGCAGCTGAGAAGAGGCTAGCTGCTGCTGCTGCTCAGGATGGTTCTTGATCAGCCCAATCAGGAATGACAATGGGTCGGGTATGGATCTGGATCCTCATTCGTCCATTTACTCTCTTCTCATCACTCGATCCATCCATGATCCATCACCGGGTACATACATCACCTATCACCCGATTTGTAGCAGGTGAAATGGGTGCTACTTAGGGGAAATGTACAGCAATTTTTTAATTATTTGTAGCATTTCATTAAATTATTATAAATAAAGTAGTAATAGTAATAGTAAAACATCTATTTAGTTTGTCCATAATGGTATACCCAACCGAAGACCTCCTAATTTACTTTCATGTGCTTGGCTTTTTATGGTTAAATCTTTGAAAATGTGTGAAAAAATGAAAATATGATTAGGGTCTCTTTGTTGAACGGAATTGAAGAAATTATAATTAAATTAGGATTTGAAATTCTATGGAATTGATCTGGATGAAATTGAATTTTCTAATTTCGTTCATTTTTGGCACTACCAATTTCAAATTTACATATTTTTGTACTATCATACAATAGAATTTAAACTATTGTCTCAAATTCCATTCCATAATTTGAATTTCACGTACCAAATGGAGTCTTAATGTTTATTTTTAAAATGTTGCAACTTTAAATTATATACTCCCTCTATCCCTACCTTAACATTTGTACTTCAAACATTTGCACGTAAGAGAGAGATCTACGAAACTAAGATACCACAACATTATTTGCTTTCTAGTCTAACGTGTTTATTATGAATCAGGTTAAATCGATCTTAATCACACATTTTCTAATCTCACCCAGTCATATGAATTTCAATAGAAATATGGACAAATTTATTTAATAATGAAACGTTTTTTTGCTCAACCTCTTATTGTTTGCTATTTTGATACTCACTCCGTCCCATTTTATAACGCCTGTTTCGGTTTACGATATTTGACTGAAATTATTTTCAAATCATTTTATATGACAAATGGTATAGAGTTAAAAAATAAAAATTACATATTAAAATACTACAGCAAAAGATCTACAAAACTAGTAGTGACAATAGTACTTTATTTTATCAAATTGCTAACAAAAATAAAGAAAGAAAGTAAATAAAGTTTGACTCTGTGAATAGTGAACATACATTATAATTTGGGACAGAGGGAGTACTTTTTTAGAGTTATGCTTTGGAACTCCAATTTTGACCCCATTTTTAGATATAGAATAGCATCGGATGTTAGAAAGTGGTTAAAAGTGAAGTTAAAATTAGAGTATATTTAGGGTCCGTTTGGTACACGGAATTGACGAAATTGGATTGAAATGGAAGTTCAAATTCTATGGAATTAATTTGAACGAAATTTAATTCTCCAATTCCAATTTATTTTTGGCACTACCAATTCCAAATTCATATACTCCCTCCGTCCTAAAATTAATTTCTCATTTTGACTTTTGTAGTCAAATGTTTTAAACTTTGACCGCATATTACGAAAAAAGTATATTGAATTTTCATATAAATTTGTTAGCAATAGATTCATTTTGAAACATACTTTTAAAATATATAATTTTCATAAAATATATTTATATAAAAATTGAGATATTGATGGTCAAAGTGTCGCATTGAAGACCGTGAAAAGTCAAATGGGAAGTTAATTTTAGGACGGAGGGAGAATTATTGTGCTACCAAATACCAAAATTGAAATTATTACCCCTAATTTCAATTCTATAACTTAAATTCTGTGTACCAAACCAAGTCCTAACATTTTTGATAATTGAGTACTCCGTATTTTTTATGATATGTTTCTTTGACATGTTTATAAGTCAAAAGATAATTAGATTTTACCTACTCCGTATTTTATACTCCCTCCGTCCCACTGTGTTTGTCTACTTACCTTTTGGCACAACATCTAATGCACTTCTTTAATCCATTTTATCTTGTAATTTGTATATTAAAAAATTATACAAATTATATATTAATAATCTATATGTTAAGACGAATCAAACAAGATCACACATGACTATTTTTAGGCTTACACATTAAGAGAATTTGATGAGTCAAAGTGCTTAGATGAACAGTTCCAAAAGTCAAATGTGAACAAAGACAATGGGACGGAGGTAGTATCAATAGACAAATAATAATGTTGACTTTAATCAATATTTAACACATAAAAACAATAAATCAATGGATAAAGCTATTTGTACCCCACATTTTGTACCCCGCAGCTTTGCACCAACACTTTGTGTTGGTGTAAAACTAATTTTTATTAATGCACCAACACTTGTGTCGGTATAAACCATCAAAATGTTTATGTATAAGTGCAGTGTATAAATGGGGTACAATTTGTGGTGTAAATGTAGCATGACCCTCAATGGATAGGCAGCGAGGGAAATGAAAACATGCCGATTACGTCACCGCTTGCGTGACGCACATAACCGCACATGCTAGAGAACACATGTGCTGCAGCCACGTGGCACGCGCTGCTGCGTCGTGTTTGGATTCTTTGCTTCCACGTGGCAGCAGATAGCCACCTACATATACGGCGAAACCCTCGCCTCCTTCTCCACCCCAACCTGCGAAATCTCTCCGACAACATTAAAAATAACAAAAATAATAAAAATACCCGCGAAGTCTCTCCGGCCAACACAAAACATCCACCCGATGCAGGCTGCGTGCGCACCACGCGCTTTCCTCTCCCTCGCTCCGGCATCCAGAACCAGGACTCCGGCGATGCCGCCTCCGAATCGCCGCTGCTTTCGCCGCGGCGGCAGGTGGCGGATCCTGAAGTCCGCGGTGAAGTGCGGCGGGACGGGGGCGGAACTGGAGAGGAAGCTGGAGGAAGAAGTGGCGGGAATGGGAATACTGAAGGGCGGGGACTGCGAGGACGGTAAGGGCGGCGGCGGCGGCGGGGTGGTGGAGCTGTTGGAGTGTCTGGAGAAAGAGGCGATAATGGGGGAGGACGAAGGACGGCAGCCGGCGGACTACAACCGGAGGGCTCAGATATTCGACACGAGTTCTAGAATCTTCCAGGCTCTCAAAAATGGCGCCCCCATTCCAGAGGATGATCCTTCTTCTTCTCCTCCACAACTATAGAAGATTACAACTTAGCCCAACTGTCACAAAAGTTTCATGTCCCCCCCCCCCATATAGAAATTTACACTGTGTAATATTACCACTTTGGTTTTTAGAGTCAATCATTTTTAACTTTTGACTTATAATTAAATAAAACATATATTGTATTATAATTTGATAAGATAATAGTTTGAAAACATTTCATATAATTAATCTAATAAAACTATTTTCGTATTAATATATATCTCCGTATCATTTTTATTTAATTTGAAGTTGGAATTTATTAATTCTGATCGAAAAAATAAATAATGGACAAATACTACATGACGAAGGAAATAATTAAAACTTTGGAGTTTTTTTTTCAAAATTTGAACTACACAGTAACATAGATAAGTTGTCTTTTTCTTACCGATAATATGTGTAAAACCAACAAAATTTGTCTTAACGAATAAGTTAAGACATAGATCGATAATGTTATTTGTCTTAACTAAATTACTTTTTCTTACAGATACTCCGGTAATAATTCTCCGGTTACTGGAGAATTATTCCTAGTTTTGTCACACGTTTTCTTGTCCATATTTTCATAATGGCATGTCTCTTACACAGTGTTTTCATGAATGTATCTTACCCTGTTTTCATGAATGTTTCACTATATTATTATAAAAAATGAGTACCCAAAGTGAAAGTCATTAAAATTTGTACTTGTGAATGATAACCATGCAACTTAAATTGAGACTGGGGAGTATTATTTTCAATAATTTCCCAAAGATCCAAATCAATTTTAAATGTTAAAGTTAAAAACGAGGCTCACATTTGGTTAAAAAAAACGATACAAATTAATTCTAAATGTTAATTACACAAATTAATTCTAAACGTAAAATTTCAATAATTCTAAATTTAATAAATGTAAAAACATTGTTCCCAAACCAGGCTCACATCTGGGTAGCAGGAGGGCTCTGATCCCTGCTTCTCTGTTTCCGGCCCTTATCCGGCCCGCCAAGAATGCCCCATCTCTCAAACTGCCTCTGCCGAGCTCGAGCCCTCTCCTTTTCCTCCTCAGATTTCGACGAAAAACAGTGGGGACAAGAGACCCCAAACTCCCACTCTGGTGATTCCATGTCAGCATCGCCCACGGGCTCTTTGCACCCGTAGCAGAGCTTGAAAGTGCCTTGCGACAACCCGTGTTCGACCGATACCCGTTTGTCGAACACAAAGCATTCCCCCTCCCAGAGACTTGCACCCTCTGGGACTTCCTCAAGGTACTTCAAAATCCCACCTTCCAAGTGATAGACCTGGCTCACAACCAAAAAGCACCCAACAAATTCAATAAGGGTCCGTTTGGTATACGGAATTGATGGAATTAGAATTGAATTGGAATTGAAATTTCATTGGATTCAATTCCATAGAATAGAATTCTGCCAATTTCAATTCATTTTTTGCACTGTCAATTCCAAATCCACATAATTGTTGTGTTACCAAACACCAAAATTGGAATTGAAGTCCTCAATTCTAATTCCATAGTTTGAATTCCGTGTACCAAACGGGGCCTAAATCTAGTCCCACAGACAATAACAACAGACTATGTGGTATGTGCAAAGCTTGAGGTTATGGTTGGGGTTACCCTAGCACAATTAGTACCAAATCTTTAGGATCAACTTTTGGGACCTAAAGCATATGAGCTTTCTTGGGTTCCCAATTTGGGACATTTGTGTGTTCTATATATGGTCCTTGAATAAACTAATATGCTAGTCTGGTTTTACCTCTTCAAACCCGCTTCTTAGGAGCAAACTTGAAGCTTTCTCGCAGCGAATTCCACCTGTACAGTACATTGCCACCTTGGGAAGTGGCTTCTTTTCCCTGTCCACAATTGGTGTTTCTGACAATTCATTTGAGCCAATGGAACACGTCTGGTCTTCGGATCCTCCAAGTTCGAAGTGATTGTCAACCCAGGAGGGGAAATCACGAAAGGCAGAGGTATGTGGATCTACCGCGCCTTTGAACTTGCCAATTCTAGTTTCATAGTCGTTCCGCACATCAATAACAACCTAACAAGTCATAATGCAGGGCAATTCAGTCCAGACTTAAAGGCCAAGATCAGAAAAAATGGCATTGAATAATTCAAGAATCATATAATTTAAAATAGGGTTAAATATGTTTTTGGTCCTGATAAAATTTGCGATTCCATCTAATTCTTTTTAACATTAATGCATCCCAGCATTTTTTTGCAAATAGCTCTCCCGCAGATCTCAAGCTAAAATTTAGTTTTTTTGTCCCTATAAAATTAGTAAAATTTGTTCTTGGTGCCTCTTAAAAAACAGAATTTGCTCATTTTATAAACACTAAAAACATATTTTATCCTAACACACTAGACCAAGATTGGGGGGAGGACCATTTACAAAAATTGCTTTTCTACTTTGACAAAAAATGGTCTATCCTGAAAAAACTTGTGCATTGCAGTGGCTTGCAGGATTTCAAATCAGCTTTTAGATAAAACTGAAAATCTCTTGGGATTGTGTAAGGAGGAAAATGGTTTTTTTCCAATGCAAAAGCAATCCAAATTGGCTCTAAGACAATTAACTGATTACATCAAGGTTTAGGGTGGGGGTACACAGACCTTACTCATACAAGAGGAAGAGAGGCATGGTATTTCATAATAAACTTTAGGTCATCTCTTTGAAGACAACATTGAAGAGTTGAGAAGAAAAGAATCAATCTTTGGCTGGGGCAAGGGTTTCTTTGAAGCTCTTTTGTAGTAGTTTATTCATTTCAATCTAATAAATTCACATTATTTCTTGGGCTTCTTTACTCTATGAGAATTGCAATGCTATGTACCATTTATGCAAGAAACCCAAAGATTGATCTGCCATATTACATGCAACAATTTAGAAATGAACAAACCCAAGAATGCTACAAATTCAAACTCTTAAAGAAACTCACGACATCCGGGTCACTTATCAATGCATTCCAATCCCTTGGCTTAACATACTTGCCAACTCTTTCAATTGGTGAAACAGATGGCATCCCAAGCGTGACTATCTGCCATAAGAGTAATAAGAATATATCATTGAAGACCAGCATGAACAACGACATCAATAACAAACCCAGTATAATATCAGAAAAGTGGGGTTTCAGGAGGGTGTGTGACTGTGTGTAGTGTGTACACAAACCTTACTCCTACTATGAAGTAGAGAGACTATTTCCAGGAGACCCCGGACTCAGATACAGAAGTACAGACAAGGAAATCAACGAAGCACGAACAGAAACAAAAGAAACATACAAACTGACTCTAAGAACTAGACACAAAGCACAATGCATACAAGCACAAGCTACACACTAAGGCATAAAAATGCACCAACATAAACTACAAACTAAGGCCCACAGGTCTATCCAAATACGCTAATCCTAGATCTCCATGCGTTTTTATCTTGAGTCATATCTTCAATAAGATCCTGAGCTCGTAAGTCATGTTTAATCACCTCCTTCCAACTCTTTTTATGTCACCCTCTATCCCTCAATCACGCCTTCTACCATACACTTCTTGTGCTTGAAAAGATAATACTATGTTTTTTTTTAATTTTAATGTAGTGTTCATGGTTACCTCTTTTTTAAGCTTAACCCTAACGTGATCCCATCGAAACGGAGCATCCTCACCCGCTGCAAGAGGGGAGCTGCTTGTATGTCCATGATGAATAGCCTCTTCCTCAGGACCCACTGGAGACTCCACCCGTCTCAGACCCTTGAGGCGGTTATCACGTTGAATGTAAGCAAGAACCTCTTCCACAGATTCCCTTGTGCCACATATGCTTCCATTTATTCCTTCTGGAGCAAGAATAATACCACCTGACACACGCTGGATGTGATCAGCTTGGTAAGGTACAATTGACATGGAAAGTTGAAAATCTTCTGAAAAAAAACTATCAGCCTCCAAAAAAATCCACAAATGCATATAGTCATGGGTCAATAACTACGGAAAATGATGAGGCATATGATTTACTGAAGTCTCAAAGGTTCTTTTTTGGCAGCCAGTTCTTGTTTATTCTGCCAACAAGTAGCTTTTGACACTCATTAAGCTCAATCACCAGACACAAAAACAAACAACAACCCAGTTAAATCCCACAAGAGTAGGGTCTGGGGAGGGTGTGTGTACGCAGACCTTGCCCCTACTCGAAAGTAGAGAGGCTATTTCCAAAGAGACCCCCGGCTCAACCGAAAGTTGCAGTGTTTGACTAACTGCTACTTCATTAATTAAAGAAGCGCAGATAGTTTAGAGATCCATTTTGATTTATTCCATCACACCCCAAAGCCAAAAATGGTGAAATTTTGACTCCATCGGAGATGATGGAAAATCAATCACCAGACACTTTTCTTTTAAAAAGATCATGAAATTTATCACTCTTATCCAAATAACATTTTCCGGCTGGATCAGTGGACCCTAAGATACTAGTTTTTTTGTTATCTCATTTATGTAGGACTGTAAGTAATGCAGAAAAGGTTTCCAAAAAGAACTTCCCATAACCATTTTCACTCCCAAAGATTGGCTAACAATTGCATCAGTATCTTAATCTATGAATAATGACTTAGGCCTTGTTTGGGAGCAAGGTTTTCAATTAGTGTTAGCGGTTTGCATACTTTGTTAATGGTTTTGATTAACTTTGAAAACTCTGTCATTAGATAACCTTTTTCAGTAAAGCTATTGTGTATAATACATTAATACTCAGCAAGTTACATGCATTAAAGCAAATGCAATGATTCTGTGAAATTATGCAAAACATTGTTTTACCTTTGGCTAAAGTTCAGCAAAGAAAGCTTTCAATTTTACCAAATCAAGCAAAAACCTAACAACAAAATATAAACTTGGCTACCAAACTTTTACATGAATGCATTTCTGAAGTTAAAAAGAAGCATACCAGTTGCTCGCAGAGCTCCTTCAATGGTTTCTTAAGCTCAGCATGGTCGGGAAAATCTGCGAACTTATAGAAAGAAACAACTACCAGCTTAGGATCCGTTCCAGATTCCACCGCCTCACCTCTCGATTCCGCCGCCGTCGGAAAAGATCTCGCAGCGGTTTTTGAAGAGAAGACTTTGGATATGGCCGCATTATGAGTCGGGCACGAGAGAGAAATATTTGGATTTGAAAAGAAAGGGGATGTTTTCACCGCCGCTGGCGGCGGCTCTAAGGAGGGTTTCATGCCGGGACCGGGGAGGCAGTGGTGGATAGGGTTAGTGATCGGCATCCTCGCCGCCAGCAATGACGCCGTTCTTCTTAAAGAAGGGAGAACCGATTGCATTGAGACTTCCAACCCAAAAAATTGCAAGTTATAAAATAAAAACTCTCAAGTACCCAAGTTATAAAAATGATTTTCCATCATCATCATCATCATCATTCCAGCACCACCATCTTCTTCGTACATCCTCCTCTTCTTCTTTTTTTTCCTTCTTCTTCTTCTTCTTTCTTATTATTTACAAAGTATTATTATTATTTATTACAAAGTATTATTTTCTTCTTCTAAATTATTATTGTTAATATTAAAAACTAATATTAATAATTTTTTAATATTAAAACTAATTATTACGGAGTATTATTTATTACGAAGTATAATTTTCTTCTACCTCTACTATTTATTATTATGAAGTAATATTTTCTTCTTCTTCTATTATTATTATTCATTATTATTATTATTAAAAATTAATTAATAGTTTCACTATAAAAATGAAGGTGTCCGACAGTTCTAAGTACAAAATTAGGGGTTCCAAACAGTAATTTTTTGTTTTTTTACATTAATGGAGATTGTGAAAGATTAATGGAGAATACAATTTTTGGTGGGAGCTTTAGTTTTTTTTGTTAAAAATATAGTAGAAAAACAAAAAATTACCACCCCGGTGTCCCGTTCGTAAAATTGACGGTTCCTACCCCCCTAACC